AAGTCAAACAAAGGTAAACAAATGACCTTATTAAGTTTTTAGTCAAAAGGTCAAAGAGATGTGGACATCTTGTTTAATTGGACAATTGTTAAGTTACTATTCATCAAACTTCATGGATAGGTTAATTAAACAAACTTCATATATTTTGATTTTCAGGTCAAAGATCAGTACAATTTTTGCTATACCATTGTTGTCCATGAATATCTTAACACCTCTATTAACTTTTCAGGTTTAAGGTCAATGTATTCCTGCTACAGTAAAACTTCATTATAAGGATCTCATAGTGATATTCTTTATTTGTAAAGAATTAGGTAATTACAAAATCTCCACTCTTTCTATAATATGTCACTGAATGTGCTTCTTTATTTTAGAGAGTTTTACAAGCAAATCATATACTGACTTTCAATCCTTCAAAAATACAATTTATATTGAATCTTGAGATTCAGACTTTCAGACTTTTAGGCTTTCAGACTCTCAGGCTTTCAATCTTTAAAAACTTTCAAGCTTGAGGACTGAGTATTTTAATATTTGTTTTGTTAGTCTGGTCTTTTATGTCATTATGATTAATCCTTAGTAATTCAAACTTTTCATGTTTGTAAAACCAGAGTGTGAAAGTACAATGTTTGTGTAATCTTCTTAATATTTATCTAAAATTACTGCTTTTAATACAGTCAAATATAATTTGTGATAATCAGAATTTCCAAATTGCCTGACCTGTACATATTTAAAGTTTCAATATCATACACTCTTGAATATCCTTAAATATCAATATATTGCTTAAGCATTTGCTATCAACCATACACTTGTTAACCTAAGGAAGGCTCTTACAATTAGTTAAACTCATGGAATTCTTCAAGCAATTTTGTTTTAAAGGATGCTAAAGAGGAAAGACCCATAAATTTCCCAGAAGTAATAATTTTTAAAACTATATAACATTAAATTAAGGAACATTTTTATAAAGGAAAAGGGTTCTTCAAATGTTCCCCAATTTAATGTGGATATATAGTTTTAAAAATTATTACTTCTGGGAAATTTATGGGTCTTTTGTCTTTAGCATCCTTTAAAACCAAATTGCTTGAAGAATTCCATGAGTTTAACTTATTGTAGGAGCCTTCCTTAGGTTAACAAGTGTATGGTTGATAGCAAATGCTTAAGCAATATATTGATATTTAAGGATATTCAAGAGTGTATGATATTGAAACTTTAAATATGTACAGGTCAGGCAATTTGGAAATTCTGATCATCACAAATTATATTTGACTGTATTAAAAGCAGTAATTTTAGATAAATATTAAGAAGATTACACAAACACTGTACTTTCACACTCTGGTTTTACAAACATGAAAAGTTTGAATTACTAAGGATTAATCATAATGACATAAAAGACAAGACTAACAAAATAAATATTAAAATACTCAGTCCTCAAGCTTGAAAGTTTTTAAAGATTGAAAGCCTGAGAGTCTGAAAGCCTAAAAGTCTGAAAGTCTGAATCTCAAGATTCAATATAAATTGTATTTTGAAGGATTGAAAGTCAGTATACGATTTGCTTGTAAAACTCTCTAAAATAAAGAAGCACATTCAGTGACATATTATAGAAAGAGTGGAGATTTTATAATTACCTAATTCTTTACAAATAAAGAATATCACTATGAGATCCTTATAATGAAGTTTTACTGTAGCAGGAATACATTGACCTTAAACCTGAAAAGTCAATAGAGGTGTTAAGATATTCATGGACAACAATGGTATAGCAAAAATTGTACTGATCTTTGACCTGAAAATCAAAATATATGAAGTTTGTTTAATTAATATATCCATGAAGTTTGATGAATAGTAACTTAACAATTGTCCAATTAAACAAGATGTTCACATCTCTTTGACCTTTTGACTAAAAACTTAATAAGGTCATTTATTTACCTTTGTTTGACTTTGATGAGTATCTTATATGCTGGATATATTAGCAAGACATAATCTAATCTGAGTAAAGAGGAAACCTGGAAAAGCTTTTATCCCTTTGTATGAACAAATTAATTGATGTCATGCAGATATCTTAACCAAAATATCAGAACAATCTGATGACTCTTAAATAAAAAGTTCTCATTATACTAGTCAGAAACCATTAGTCTACCTGTCAAACAAAAAATTTGAATGTCAACTCAACAAAGTAAGTAGGGTTCCTTTTCTTCAAAAAGTAAAATTTTGATGGATTGGGTGAGTGTTTGTTACTTTATGCCTATAAAGAAAAATATATGCCCTCCATTTTGACTGTATGGATTAAGAACTGTTTATATAATTGAATCAAACTTATTTCTTTCATGTCATTCTTAATGTCATAGTACCCATCATTCATAATATGTACAAGTCTCAATCCTAATAGATGAATCCACATTTTGTTTTTATTACACATCACTTGGCGACCATATTTGAGGGAAACTCAGAATTCTCTGTCTATGTTAATTTATGATGTACACCTTCATCATTTGACATAAATCATTGGCTTTTTGTATTTTGATTGCCTAAATCGGAGCTTTTCATACATAGAAAGAGGACAAAAAATGAATACAGTGAATTTATTGCAATAATACCTACATGTTTGATACATGAAGAGAATTTTTTTTTTCATTTCTTCTTGACCTTTGGATTGACCCTGAATAGAGATACCATTTATTTTTTGGCAAGTGTAAAGTATATACTGCATGACTAAACATGGTTTGTATATTGAAATATGAAATGGTTTCTTTAATGCTTAAATCAAAATACTCCTACTGTCCTAGTGAGAATTATGCTCAATCAACTTTGTGAAATATTCCCAATTTCCAATGCTTCTTATTTACATTAAAAAAAAAACTGACTCAAATAAAATTGTTTGTTTTCTCATTTATTTTACAAGGAATTACATGCTAACAGTGAATCTAATTATTTTTAAAACTGGTTAAAGTAATGTTTACAATTGTCTTAAAATGCTCAAATGCAAGTTTATTTCATTAACAAATACCTTAAGTGTATAGACTAAATGTACTTATAGATTCAATATATAGACTAACCCCTTATAAATAGTAAAAATAATTTCTTAAACCTGATTTTCTTGCATATTCTCTCATGCATTACCTAATTTGAGTTGAGTATTCTCAAATTATTGAATACATGAACAAACAAATTTAGGACAAAACCACAATATATGCTGAATGCCTTGAAATGAAATGGTTACATATGTAAGATGTGTAACACATCATGTACAACTTTAAAGTCTACAAAATTTAAAGTTAACCATATTATACAATAAGACTACTTTTTTCAAAGTTATGAGAAATTCTCCACAAAAAAAATGTATTTATTCAAAAGATAAATGTTAGGGTACAATTTAAAAATACATTTTACATGAATCACATAAAGAACATATCAAATCATTTCTTTGTGGTTGTTTTCCATTGGAACATCTGTGAACAAACATTCTGTTTTGTCTTTTTTTTTGATACATAAAAAGCGTCCAAAAATCATTTAGAAATGTTGTGTTAAACCCTGATACTCAGAATTTTAAGAGTTTCTGATGTGTGCCCTACTTAGAAATGTTTACATTGAAACAAAGATGAAACTCATAATTGATTTAATCAGCAATTATAAAGTCATCAGGTTTACACATGCTTTTCTAACACATCATGTACATTTTTTTTTCTACTAGTATGTCTTTGTTCACAAAAAATTGAAATCAACAGTACTTAGCATTCCATATTAAGAAATATGAACCCTAGCTATTAAAAATCTAAAAGTATATTTGTGCATCAATGCATTATGTTTAACAAATCAATCTCTTTCACTGTGATGAAAATTGTCTTCTTCATATAACATGCAGATAAAGAACTTCTTTGGATGATGTCATTTTCATATGTAGAAAAGAAACTAATTCAACTAAAACTAAAAGACAGTCCTTCAAATTTTAAGGACATTAAAGGATGATATCAAGACAGAAGTCCAGGAATTGCTAAAACTCTACAATTATCATTCAAAGATGTATATGTTTGGATTTATTATTTAATTCACAAGCAAATGATATGCTGCCATTTTAAATCTTTCAAACTTAAAAAAAAAATCTATACTTTTGAATTAAAAATTTCAAAATCTAAAGGAGTCTTCCAAATACCTATCTACATGTATTTATGACTGAAGGTATGTAAATCACCAGAGTTGCTGTACTGCACCATTTGAATAAAAGTCATATCCACATTCTTGACTTTTTTCCCTAAACCTTATTTCAAAACATAAATTATTCCAACCAGTCTTTATTCTATGCAGTGATAATAAATTTTTACAGAATTCTAAGGTATTACATAGTAATAGTCATATAAACACCCTTGAACATAGTGCATATGATTTACATTTCAATCCTTTCCTAAGAATTTGCACCTAATTTTTATAAAGTCTATAAGTTATCACACAATGTTTAAGTCATTGCATTACAGGATTCAAATCAGTAATCTCAGTTAGTAACTAACTTTTACCCAGGAGTAAATGATCCAAAAAATCTATAGAAAATATCTTATTGATTCTTCGTCTGTGTGCTTATGATGTGAAGTTTGTAAGTTACAAATTATTGTCAAAGAAGTCATCTCAATAATCTTATGCTTTGACCTTGACAAAGTGTCCTTAACAACAAAGTGTATTCCTACAAACATTCAATATGTAATTAGTATGATGAATATGATATGATAAAAGATATTCAAGATATTATTAAACCACAGATTATGGGACACTTGCTTCTTTATTGGAGGTCTTATTGAGACCAATTTTAAATTCAAAATTAAAAAATGATACATACACAAACAAAATATATTTACCATTCCAGGAAAGTTAAATGATAATATTAAATCCAGCATCTAAATATCTGTGTAATTTCTAGGGGGTTATAGAAATAAGATGAAAAATAAAAGGTTTAAATGTATACTTCTCATACATAACAACTGTCATCAACATGAATTGGTAAAAATAAAAGTTACATTTAGATACTTTAAAGTTGGTGAGAATAAATTTTTAAAGAGTTCATGCTATCAGAAAATCATATTTTCAATACAATTGTACTTGATTTGACTAGATCTCAGTTTAATAAATGGGTACATCTTATCCATAGTCAGTGTCTGACAGTAAAAAGATACAATCCTGTTACTTTGTCATTCTGTAAACCACAGTCTATGATAATACTGGTTAAATTCGTTGGAAATTATATTTATCTATGTGCTTCTTAAATCCTCCATCCATCTCCTGTTTGATTTTCTTGTTTCAGTGTTCCAAGAGAGGATATTCTGTTTGTCTTTGCATAAACTGATAGTCTTTCACCATTCTGAGAGTAGACATAGATCATTTCCATAAGCCCTCACTAGAGAATCCTGAAAAATATAAAAAAAGTCTTAGTTGAAAAAAAAAATTGTTATATAATATAAGCTTGATGGAATTCTAAATATAGACAAAAAGGGTATAAATACAAGTTGTAACATAAGATTTTGACTTTTTCATATTAACCATGGGTAACACCTCCAGTAAAGAAAAGAGTAAAGGAATGAGTAAAATTTAGTTTGGAAAGAGAGTTCTTTCAGAGAAAGATATAGACAGAGGTATACCAGTTAAAATAAAAAAAGATGGCACTATTGAGATCATTTCTCAACAAGAATATAATCAATTAAGTCCAGAGAAGGGTGATCCTAATGATGTCGGAGATTACATAGAAAGACCCTTGATTGCAGAAGAAGCCAATGAGGAATATAACCATTTATTACCAAAAGAGGGTAAGAATTACTTGGATTACCCTGAAAGACCTTTGACTAGAGAAGAAGTCAAGTTTATAGATGATAAGAGAAAACAGTTGTCAGAAAAAAATGTTGTTAAAGACATATGAATTTTAGCCCACAAAACCATTGGAGAAGATACAAGGATTAATGGAGGAAGTCCAAACTGAATTCTTGGAGGACATTAAGGCTTATTATGAGAGTAACTTTTCCAGTATTTGTTTATTACAAAATTATGTATTCTAATAAAAAAAAAGTTTTCACTTTCATTTGTTGTGCCTTAGACCATTCAAATTGACCTTATGGTTAAGATTGTGATACACACTCTGATAATCATCTATGATGTCTCTATCATGTTTACCTCAAAAGATTGAATCAGGGTATTTGTGTTCAAAGAGCTGAAAAAAACTATACAGACAGATCTAAGATTTTGGAAGCATACATATTAATGGGTTTAAATGAGATATAACACTAGATTATTAAAAAGAATGAACAAAAACTCATAGAAATGATATTGAAAGTACCTTTTATGTATAAAGTGTCATGCTCCAAGGTATATTTTTTTATAAACAGGAGAAGGTTTACAACAGTCCAATGCACTCATAAGAAGATCTTGGGTAGTAGAAACACCAGGGAATTTTAATTCCACACAATCAGATTATCTTACATCAGTTATAAGGTTACAGTCTTTATATATAGTTAAGAGGGTCATTAAGATTTCTTTTCTTGTCATCTTGATGTGCTACATTATAGTATTCTTTCCCTGTGATATAATGTTAATATTAAATGGGAAATTCAGAATTCATCAGCAATTGGAGTCAAAACTTGCTATCTTTACCAACTATGATATTAAGGAAGCTGGGGGGGGGGGGTTACAAATTAGCCATATTTAACTTATTCTATAGATATGCTATCTTCAGCTGTTAACTATCATTTGGCAAAGAAAACTTTCATACATTTTAGTTTCAAAATTTGATCATGCATTTTTGTATATATATTGAAATGGAGCTCTTCTTCTTCTTCTAAAGGAGATCAATAGAGTTTAAAAATGACCATGACCACCAAGCCCTTTTTATTTAAATATATCATTTACATATCAATTCAAAATTATAAACATGCATATGTAAAATTAATAAATAAATAAAAATTACAATTGCATTGAAACTTTACCTTCAAGTTTTGTGTGTTTCTATGTTGGTTGACTAACTGTGTATTTCCAAAGGAAGAGCAGACAGTCTGAACTTCATAGAGAATGGATTATAGATGGTAAGGAACAAAACATATCTTCCATGTTGATGACTGTAGAAATAAAAGCATTTTGTTAATATGATGGAGTACTGTGTGAAACAATGCATGTTTAAATACAACATGTACAATGTCAAAAAAAAGTTCATGAAAATATATGATTTTAATCTCAAAAATTGTTTTTAACTTTAACTCCAGATGAGAAAAGTTCATCATGTTATTTATAGATAATAAACAAGCACAACTACTGTATCAATATTACAAATAAAATGATTATCAAATTAATTATTTAGACACTAAAAGATCTTTTATTAACAGCAGATTCAATTTTGGTTTAATACCTATCTGTACTGCATACAGAAAAATACATATTTTATTTTTTTTAGCATAATCACAGTACAACATGTAGTCCTTCATTTTTTGAAAAGCTCATTACCAAAAGTGAAAATGAAATTAAATGTATACCATATATCACACATATTTGGAATCAAAACAAAAGTAAATGACTATTATGATTAATCTTTTGTAAATTCTTCCTTTTCTCTTATTAGATTCCTAATTAATATCTCTTTGATCACCATTTAGTAAGTCTGAATTCCATGGCCATGGGTAACATACATAATGAATTATGTAATTAAATCATATAATTTATACAAAAGGACTTATTAATATTCTGAAGATCCCTTGATATATTTTAGGTTAAAAAAGGGTGTGCTTATATGAATGTAAGTTAGAGACAACAGATCACATAAGTATTACACAGTAATTAAATTAACCATATAATCATGCTTAAATGCAAAGATGACCTTCATAGGAAATGTAAACAATCTAAAAAACAAGACAAACTTACCAGAGATATCCAACTATATGCCCAATAAGCCTATCCATTAAATAATCCAGTGAAATAACATCTCAGCTGATCCTGAAAAAATCATACAATTCAGTGATACACAATTAACCTCATTTTACAATGTAAGTTAAGCAATAATTTACAGACAAAAGGGACAGAAATGTAAAAGATACCAGATGTATTTTACCAAAATTTACTGAATATTTTTCTGATTTAAATTCAATCATAGAATGACCCATCATAGAAATATTGAATGCACTCTGAGTTACATCCCGGTTATACATGTACAAGTGTAAATCACATGAAATGAGGATAAAAACAGTACATTTACATTCAAAACAGAACTTTACATAATTATGATTAAATGCAAAGATGACCTTCATAGGAAATGTAAACAAAACAAAGACAAACTTACCAGAATTATCCAATTATATGCCCAATCAAATAATCCAGTGAAACAACATCTTAGCTGATCCTGAAAAAAAGCATACAATATTCAGTGATACTCAATTTAACCTCATTTTACAAAGGAAGTAAAGCAACAATTGACAGACAAAAGGGACAGAAAAACATGTTTAAATGTAATGCAAAATAATATCTCTTATATATGGATACCTATACTCTAATCAATCATATTAAATGTCATTCGTAAAATGTATTTTTTAAGATAGATTTATTTAGGATCGACCTTAAATGATAACATGAATAGCACGCAATACTTTAACCACATGTCAAAACATTCTCTCAAATTACACAGAAATGGGTTATTTAGCATAGCTGACATTAAACATATAGGTGAGCGATAACATAATCACAATCATAAACAATGTGAAACAACTTTAAACGACCTACACTGTGGATTACAAGCCTTTTTCACTGGGGTAAAATCTTGCCGAAATTCGCCATGGCTGCCCGAAACCCCGAACCCGACTGTATAAAAGATGAAGTCATACAATAACATAACACTGATGTAGTATTACATGATTTTTTTATTTTATTTCTTAAAAACTATAAGGGGAGTTTACCAAAAAAAAAAATTAATAAGAAAAAAAAATTAAAGTTATTTTAAAAAAGTTTTAAAAAATTTATAAGTTTTTTAAAAAAAGTTTTAAAAATTTAAAAAGAAATTCTAAGTTTTTTAAAAAAGTGACCTGGTGTTATAACTTGAGAGACATAACACACACATGTTTTTTGTATTGTGTGTTATTTGTTATTGTCTTTCAGTAAAAAATTCAGTTCAAACTGGTTAGGCTGGCTAGACTAGGCTGTCTAGACTGTAAATGAAAAAGTGTGACGTCATAATCACATTGTATTTATACAGTGAATGACGTCACAATGCATAGGTAAGTTTATCGTACTTTTTGCACACGGCACTTTATAGAGGGTGCAAACAGGTATTTAAGAAAACACAGGTAAAAGGTATATTTCTTTTGCACACGACCCTCAGTGTTTTTTTTTGCACACGTCACTTTATAGAGGATGCAAACAGGTATATAAGAAAACGCAGGTAAAACGTATTGATGCACAGGGCCCTTACAGTAAAGGTATATAAACCATGTGTGTTAAATGTTATTGTTTTCAGTAAAAAAAAACAGTTTGAACTGGTTTAGGCTAGGCTGTCTAGACTGTGAATGAATGCGTGACGTCATAATGACATTCTTGAAATGTTTTTGCACACGGCCCCAAAGTATTTTACCTGTATAGTTAGCATAAACAAAACGTAGTACCAACGTTGTGAATCGTAGTAGCAGCGTATAGTAAAAAACTATATACAGTGTAAACACAGTGTAAGCGGGCCCCCCTGTATTTAAGGGATAGGATAGGTTAGGGCTAAAAGGGGTTAGGGATAGAGGCCTAAGGGGAAATTAGGGATAGTTAGGGTTAGGGGATAGGGTTAAGGGAAAATAGGGTTAGTTTCAGTTTTGTTTCTTGGTAATGAGGTTTTCAAAAAATGAAGCTAGACTGTGAATGAATGCGTGACGTCATAATCACATTCTTGAAATGTTTTGCACACGGCCCCAAAGTATTTTACCTGTGCAGTTAGCATAAACAAAACGTAGTACCAACGTATAGTGTATAATGTAAACACAATGTAAACGCCACCGTATTTAGGGAATAGGATAGGTTAGGGTTAAATGGGGTTAGAGGGCTAAGGGGGATAGGGTTGGTTAGGGTTAGGGGGTTAGGGTTAGTTAGGGTTAGGGCTAGTTAGGGTTAGGGGGTAGGGTTAGTTAGGGCTAGGGGGTTAGGGTTAGTTAGGGTTAGGACTGCACTCAGTTGACCCCCATATCCCTACCCCAGGGGGGACTGTACTGAGTTGACCCCCTATTCCCCCAGACCCCCCAAACCTGCACTCCCTTGACCCCCCTATCCCCCAGGGACTGCACTCAGTTGACCCACCTATCCCCTCAACCAATCAAAACGGATCACGTGATTTCTCTCAGCCAATCAGAATCTTCCGCCCTATCGGGGATGCTTATACTACTAAGGTATATTGCTGCATAAGTTAAAAAAGTTAAATTCATCACGTTTACAATAGATCTTGATTGTTAGATTACCATTAACGTCTTTTTCGAGTAACATATCTTAGTATGAAGTAGATGTGTTAGAATCTGTGATATCTTTTATCTCAAGTTCACCAGGTAATATCGTATCGACGTAGGAATGGAAGTTACCATTGACATTTGACAATACGTCGTCGATATATCTTAATGTCGAGTTGAATGTCATAGCAAGTATTTTATTCTTTTCGTGCATAGGATTTTTCACAAAAATAGGTCTGCTAATAACGAGGCACAATTTGAACCTATGGGAATTCTAATTGACATTTTAGTTAAAATTCATTCTGGTTGTTTGGAATATTAAAAATATTCAAAACTGACAAATGATTTTGAAGAATTTCCTCCTTATAAATGGAGCAATAGGTAATATTATATGCTCTATGCACAATAGTTATGAAATTATGACACCAGGTAAAAGACTGATATTACCTAAATTTCGGCCCTTTCAAAATTAATGATTTTTCACTTTACCTACGTCACCAGGAGTAGTGTGTCCAGCAGGACTATAGTTGTAAAAGTTTGTAGAGTAAAGAACACATGGATTGTGTTTCTTGTATACTATATTTGGGCTCTGTACAGTTTTATAAGGTAAATGAAATTTGATTAAATATTTTATTCTTATTTTGTATTTTGAAACAGAATTATCAATCACATAATCGGCGTCTTATTTTTTCAAATTCTATATACAAGTAAAAGAAGACAAAAATATTTGCATGATAATAAAAATTGGAATTAAATCTAATTGATACCATCTCTGAGTAATACACTCCTCTAGAATCTATAAGAATTCCATTGATTTTTTAAAACATATAAACTTATACAAAAATTCCTTTTAAAAAGTGAAATGTGTTGTTACAGTTTTAAACTTACGAAAATGTGTGTTTCTTTGTTCATTTTTCTCCAAATTAATAAAACTACCTAAATAGCTATGAAGATAATACCAATTCCGACATTTTTAATTACAAAAAGAGTTAATAAATCGGATGAATGATGAACCCAGAGAACATTGAATAGGTATTTCCACCATAGATTGTGTTATTGCCAGCTATGAAATCAGTTTGACACCAGACATCATCCCCGGTGGTGAGCTGTAGAACAACAGATCCGGTTCTGCGCAGATAGGAGTGCGTGTTGGTATCTAAAAAAGTGATAGCCACAGCCTGTGTTTTCTTCATGATGCGAACATGCATTCCGTGATCAGCATTTTGAGGAGGTGCTGTAATTTCGACTGCAAAATGGTAGATTCCTGGATATGGAGCGACAAATATTCCGTGAGTGGGATGGTACGCATTTCCGGCGTTAAGTTTGACGTTATCGAACACGATGTGGAAGTTGTTTGTCGGATTTAAAATACTTCTAGAGAGTTCCGCAACAAAAGCAACGTTTGATCTGGTCCTTTCTACAAAGTAAACATGATTAAAAGTAATAATTTTTTTTTACTATTTGGTCTCTATAAAGCTTAAGTGCTTTGTCATTTGAAAATCTGATTTTTGCTATGAATAACAAAATGTGTTTGTAAAACACTATGCGCCCGGCATCAAAATTCGAAAAAGATAATTTTAGCATATAGGTCACAGTCAAGGTCACAACGTCATCGACCTTTGTGCCATTTGAAAGAACTTAATTAGTTAACAATGCATATGAAAAATGAAATCTCTATCTCATTTGAGTCAAAAGTTATGGCGAATTTCGAAAAAGCTATTTTTATTATACAGGTCACAGTCAAGATCACCAGGTCATTGATATTGATATCATTTAAAAGAGCTTAATTAGTAAAGTATGCATAACAGATATGAATTCTCTGTCTCTCGCGGTTCAAAAGTTATGGCGATGGTTACAGTTGACAACAAACCAAACAGATAAACAGACAAACAGGGAGACAGGACAAAACAATATAAGCCCCGGATCTACCGATCCGGGCGCATAAAGTGGAGGATGCATACCAGATAACAAGTCTCTGTATCGTATAGTTAAAAAGATATGGCGAAGGTTCTAAAAGTTTTTTTAGCATATAAGTTACAGTCAAGCTCACAAGGTCATTAATCTTGGTGTCAATTAAAATACCTTAATTAAAGGTGTGTACATACCAATCATGAAGTTTCTATCTGTCAGGTTTAAAAGTTAAGGCGAAGGTTAAATTTGACAACAGAGAGAAAAACAGATGAATAGACAGACAGGACCGAAAAAATAAGCCCCCTTATCTATCGATCCGGGCGCATAAAAAAGCACGTTTTGTTTTTGTCTCTAATCTTGCGTTCAGGTCATTACACACTTTGATTAGAGAAAACAATAAATTATACAGTATTAATCCATCCTAAATCAAGGTTCAATAATTAAGGGCACTGTTAGACATCCTGAGATACAGCCATGTCAATGTCCTTATGTTACTTCCCGTTGATGAGTGAGAAAATGCACTTTGGATATACATCTTTTAAAGTGTAAACTCTAGAACTCGAAACAGAATGTATTTTTTAATATTCAACGGAAGTAAAAATCCTATTATATCGTATTTTTACCAACAATTTGAAGAAAACGAGAATTTACCTTTAACAATTGTGTCATTAAGCTCTGCAATGATTGTCTTCAAACCTTTAATCTCCTGGTCAAGTTCATTTCTAGTGATGACATGGTCATCATGACCAATGTTCTCTAAAAGAATTGAAGAAACAGTGCCACAAAATACCAAAAACATAAATGCCGTGGCAAGAGACATAGTGTGCATCAATGTAATGTTAATGTAGACGGCGGGTAGATAAGATATATAAGATGTACGCGTTACCTAAAGACAAACCAATGGTAAAGTAAACAAGAAAGGTTGAGATAATGAACACTGTTCAATCACATTAATCTAGTAAAAAGGATCATGAAAAGGACAAAAAATGGGGTCTCAGGAAAAAAACAGAACTCGGGTTAGAGGCATAGGAGAAGTACACATGTACAGGAAAGCATACTCTACCGACTTTTCACACCCTTGGTGAGCCCTTTGTATTGATCAGAATACATTTGTATTGATCGGGTAAACAAAACATAAAATGCACGAAAAAGTAAAGATAATAAATAGTAATCGATCTCATCAAATGCATAAACCATACAAATACGTAAAAATAAGCCACACAACAGGGACCCATGTAAATTCTAATGGTGGGATCGGGTGCCTAGGAAGAGCAAGCATCCTCTGTTGATCTGTCACACCCGTCCTGAGTCATATGCATTGACCATGTAGACAAAACTATCTTGTATACAATTTGTCCTTAAATATCTTGTCCATTCCATAAATCCGTAAAGAGAGAATTTATCAATTATTTCTCAAGTCAACTTCATGTACTCTGAAAGTCCTTTAAAAATGTTTTTGTTTTTATTTGTTTGTTTGTTCTTTTTTCTCGTTTCTAATTATCCAATTCGTATTATGGGAAAATCATATTTCCATATAGTGCAACCATTTCATTTTATTTCATCTACATGTATTCGGTTCATCTGATAATTTGCCTTATTATATAGCTAATAAAAAGTCTCTAATAATCACTACCAAAAACCTAGAGAATTTTAGCGTTCAATATCTTGAGGTTTTATTGAACTTGTATTACGTATGAACGAGTATGCCCGAAACATTTTGAATACGTCAGCGTTCAATATCGAACGCCCCGTTGTAAACAAAAAAGTCGTCTAATCAAATTCTCAGAGTTAAATTAAAGAAAGGAAGTGGCATCTACGTAAGCTCGTGTATTTTTACAGCCAACTTGTGCCAATATTCACCTATAAGTTCAATAACCCTATATTATATTAAAACTATGCAGAATTTCCATATATGGCTACAACAGTAATAACAGGAAGGTAAATCAGTGGTCTGAAACTAAAATATTGAGAAAAACGTATATGTACAGATATCGAAATCAAAAGTCCGTTGAAACAATACAAATCGAGAATAGAGCAGACACGGTCCTCTGAAAACAACAGAGAGGGGATTAGTTACCATAGAGAATGAAGAAACCCCGATTGACTGGTCACTCCCTCCCAAGTGTTCATTGTCATGATCTGTTCAAATAAAAAATCTAATTTAGAAAAAAAAGGCCTAGAAATTTATCAGCTAGGAGACATAAACCAAACATGCATGTGAAAGAGGTATAATACTACATATTAAGTAACAAGAAAACATTGATGTAACCATCAATTGTCGCCCGGGAAGTACATAATGTAAACAATGAAAATGAACCTTCATCATCAAATCGCTTCGATATGTGTGAAAAGGCATGCGTCTAATTGATGGAGATGATAGTCGCAAATATTTTGAAAACTTATAGTCGGATGAAAATCAATCAAAAACGATACCATTTTAAACTTGATCAATTCCTCAAGTAAATGTTGGCTACATAAAATATAAATTGAAGTTAGACACGCATCACCTATATTTAAAAATGTATTAATTTTCAATTTTAGAATATAAAACACGAACTGTGCAGAGTACGTTTTTATCCGAGAAGTAAAATTCGATGTTCTAAAAAAGGGACCTGTCGTTTTTTCGATAGTAAATGATAAACAACTTTATATATTAAATATGTAAGACATAGATATTTTTACAGTTTCACTTTATGGAAGTAAATATATCATTTATCTCGTATTTTATAAATGGAGAGAACATTCTGATTAACAATCTTTTCAATGTTTAGAAAACCTTTAATTCAAAATAACTACTCCCACCCCAATCCCCATACACCAACACTTAAACTTGTATGTCTAGAGCAGCCCGGTCCTCCGGGCTGCAATTATATAGGGTTAACTTTTCTGATGACAACACTGCGACAGGCATTTTAGTTGACCGTTGTGTATCTTCAATTTCAAGTCCGACGAAATGTCTATCATCGATTACTCTGCAAAACCGATTAAGAATAAGGTACGGTTTAAACATTTACCCAAACCTTTTTTTTAAATGTGAAAATAAATTATGTTAGAAATTAAAAGAAATAGTTTCTGAATTATTGATATAGAAACATACACATCGTTTTCTTGTTATTGTTTAAAGGTTTTTACATAAAGTAAAGAAAGCGAGAGTTAAACAAACTCTGCATAAAAAACTAAAAAATATTCTTTACAACAATTTATTTGATCATGGTTGGTGACCCTAATGCATAAATAAGTCGGAGTATTAAGATTGGAAAGGGAATTTTTATATTAAAACCTTCCGCATTGATATAACAAAATATAAAGGTCTTCCTTTTCAAGTTTGGTTCTATTGCATGGAGTGATCTTCCACACAAAATTCATAACGTTTATGGAATTATGACAAAAGTTGAAAGATTGGGGTTCCTTAAATGTTGGCCCTTTTATTATAAGTGGGAATCCAGAATTAACTACAGAGTAGTAACCGAGTTGTAAAATTCGGAACATTGATATGATTAAGGAAGGATATGGAGATAACGAACAGTATTCAATATTAAATAAAAGAAAAGAATAAATTTAAGATGTTCGATAGTTAAGCGTTTAAAATGTGTGGGGTTGTTTGAGGATTTCATATCTAAAATTGTATCTTCTCAATAAAACCGCTCACAAGTTTCACTGTCTTACAAACAAATACATAAAAAGATAGAAATGCCAGAAATATATAGATGATATGTCATTAAGTGGCCTACTAAGATTCCTTTCAATAAATCATGCATTTATACTGTCTAACGCTTTTTTTGTATACATACTATTATCTTAATTTTCCTACTCAATGATTTTTCTATAAGAGGATCAATAGTATTTGTCGCTAAGAAAGTAATTTTTACCGAATCTCTGATTTGATTTGATATACTTATATAAGGACGATTTCGTAAGGCAAGTAAACACAAGGAATTCAAGCAATTTTAACCCTTATCCTGTCTAAATGGACCAAATTGATAATGGCAATGATTAAATATTTTGTGAAGCAATTTGGAAATAGGTACAATCATAAACTTGTATGAAACATGTACAACAGGTATTTAAAAACAAGGACCATTGTTTAGGCAATTGCATTAAGACAAACGTTTAATTGAAAACAGAAAGAATCAAACAAGCAGTGAATAATGCAAAATCAACAAAACAAAATTGCAAATTTTTGATATCAGCAGATTGGAGCAAATTTTCAATAATACATCAGTCTGTGTATTGTACGATAGAAATTTTATCCTCTGTTCCACTACTTACAAGCAAAAGATTGTTCTTTGTAATGCTTAGACTAAACGGTTGATAGAGACCACTTCCTTTGATAAATCGTAGGAACTCTCCATCACAGTCAATAATATGGATAGAATCGTTGTCACGATCTGCGACCAGGATTTGGGACATGGTGTCTGTGACGATTCCATAAGGGGTAAAGCATTCGAACATCTCCTGACCAGGGTATCGAAATCTGAGATTTCCAGATTTGTTGACAACAACGACTGCATTACCTCCAGGATCTGAAACACAGATATCAGAATTTTTGTTTTCACCTACAAAGAGAACGGAAGCCATCTTACTAAAAAGTGGTTTGTTTTCAGTGGCGTACTGTATTTCTTGCGTGACATTCGACCCGGAAAAGCGGACAACTTTTCCTTGATGACCAATATCCGTTCTAAGACAAACCAACAGGTCGCCTGAGGAGGTGGCACATATCCCAAACGGACTCCATTTAGCGAGTTTGATTAACGTGTCGATATGTCCATTTCTATAGACATTTATCATTTTCATGTAGTTGTTACTATGCACGACATACTTGTTTAATAGGAGGCATATGTCTAGTGCAATTCCATCAGATAATATGACTTCCTCTAAGATTTCGTTTTTCGTATTCATTCGCCTCAAGGTCGATCTGCGAGCTACCCATACTTCTTCACTGCTAACACGAGCTACGAGCGATGCGGGACCTAAACCACTTTTGATAGTTCCCACGACGACATGAGATGTACTAGTTTCTCTGCGAAAATCTGTACTTTTCCTTATTGAAATTTTCTTATGACTTTTAACTCCGCATATCTTTAAATCTCCAAACATATTGGCAATTGGTTCTTCATCAATACTTTTTGGGATGAAATCAGGAAGATTTGCGTCACTGAGATCTAGTGAATCAAATTTTTCAAGATCTAGTTCGAAGCGGAGGAATCCAGTCGCAAAATTCTCCCGCAAACTCTTTCGGAGCTTTTCGTCGAGTGATATCGCTTCTCCCAAAAGACTGGATATTTCCTCTATGTTCTTTTCTAAAACCTTGGTTTCTTTCTGCGTAATATCATTGAGTTCAGCCAGTTTTCTTTCTACGATTATGTCGACAATCCCGTGCAGTTTTGCTCCTTGATTTTTCACTGCTGATATCAGCGGTTCACAATGTTCTGGAAACCTTTCTTTTTTCTTCAACATTTCATCAAATAGATTCTGAAGCGTTTTGATGATCGATATTTCTAGCTCTGTAGTGTCTCTTTGAATTGTTTGCCGCCTTTTTATGCTTTCCTTTAGCAGATCTGTGCATTGGTGGTCCTCGTGTGATTCTATTATACACTTTGCGCAGACTTCAGTTTTACAGTCCGCGCATAGAGAGGTACAGGCACTGCTATGATCTTTGCAGTTTGGCAGGACGGGCTCTGCGTATCTCTCTGAATACGCTACGATACTGTGTCCCCCGGTGATGTTTTCCGCCACGTGTTTCCCGCCACATGCGGCACAAAACTTCAGATTACAACTCTTGCAGTACATCTTAACTTCAAGTGAGCAACAGTCACAGGTCACAGTATCTAACGGCATTTTGGTTTATCTGTAATAATTCAGAAATATTCATCATTTCATCATTTTCTTTTTGCTATTCATGTCTTTTTTTTATTTTTCTTAATAGTTGTTTGTTTTAATAATAACACTATTAATTGCCTGTTAAATTATTTCATCAACATTGTAATCATGGGATTCGGTTCGAAGGGGTTAGATTCTTAAAATTGCATAGAAAAATCACAACATCGAAATAAGATGTTTAAATATTCGTCAAGCCAAAATTTAATGAATTATAAGATGTTTAAATATTCGTTAATCTGAAATATAATGAATCATAACAAGATAAATTGGTTCATAGGTCTGATTATCCTTAAAAGTACAAATCCTATCCTAGTTAGTGATTTAAATGGATTGTATCATATTCATGGATACATCATTCCTACAACATCTGTGTATACTGTTCATATCTCCTAGTTGATTCAAAACAGAGGAACTCTATGTTCGAATTCTTTTTTACCGAGGCAAGCTTTTAAACGACGATGTTACAAATATTTAAGCAACCCAAATTTGTGAACTTTTCGCAAAAATTCTATGGTTGTTTTGAAGACCTTTTTAGTAAATAAAGCCTTTTCTTTATTCGTATCTCGAATCTGGGGATGTCTCGAATACCATGGCTATATCAAAGTGATTTTAAGTCCCAAATACTAATTCTTTCCTATTTCACCCTCGACATCTCGAATCCTAGGATATTTCAATGCTTTGAATTACATTGTAATTCAATCATTTTTATCATATATTAAGATTCGCTTTTAAATGTTGTCTTACATAGGGTTTGCTCTTGTCCCCTTTTCTGGAATTTTTGTTTGTGTTATGCCCTCTTCTCCTATTTGAATTGACCATAGATTTTTGAGATTGATCACATTTCTTAACCTTTTACACTTGACAACAAAGGTAAAAGCAAACACCAAAGTGTAACATAATTGCTATAGAAATTAAAAAAAAAAACGAATACAATTTTTTTTATACTTAATACATTAACAATATATTGGTTGTATACAAGAAATGCTCTTTATAACACAAGTTCAATTTTGTTATGAAGATATGGAGTTATCGAACAGTATTCAATATCAAAGTCCATATAACAATACAAAATAGGAGCAGAGCAAACAAGGACCGGACCTCTTAAACATTAGAGGTGGAATCAGCTGGTGCCATCGGTCATACCATGTTTTATATTATTAAACTACAAATAATTGATATTAAAGTTTTCTGAGAACAATCAAAGTTCAAGATCTTAGCCTTATTTTCATTATAATGGGGAAAAATGCTTTGTATACAAGATATGAGATTAATAGATTACTTTCTTGCGTATGGCATGTCAGTAACAATACTAGGTTTAATAAATACATATATTGCTGATAACAATTACAAACAGCATGAGATTTTCAATACTAAATGTTTATTTTTAAACAAGTGATATTGCTAAAAATCAAGATATGCGGTCAATAAGTGTTCTGAAGAAAAAGAATGCTTTTGAGTTAAGTAATTTCTTATGTAGACAGGAATTAAAACTCCCTCATCCACTCTCTCATTCTCTATCATACTCGATCTGAAAACTAGAGGTACTGTGAGCAATGACCTTACTTAATGATACCCCCCGCCTGTTATATGATTAAAATAACAAAAGTTTTAGTTTTGATCTGGGATACCCGAAATAAGTGAGATCAAAAAATAAAATATCAACTGCACAATGGCATTGTGTTATAAAGAATCTCTGAAAGTATCATCAAATTTTATTCAGTTGTATAGAAAGAGTTGCGGATAAAAGATGGATATACCATGGATCAAAAAGTTAAATACAATACAAGGTGCACAATTTCATTATATAACAAAGATAGATTCGGTGAAAGTTTTATTAGATTTCATTCAGGGGTATAAAAGGCATGTTAGATAGGAGATGGGTACCCAAAAGCGTAACAGACGGACGGACATCCCGATCACTATACTAACTATAGGTACTGTGAGCAATTAGCTCACTAAATGATACCCTCCCCTACCATTTGAATATAATAGCAATTTCCATGTTTTGCTATGGGAAGCCGAAAATGTGTTGGATCGAAAAGTAATTAGAAGGTGCACAATGGCAATATGTAATAAAGATTCTGTGAAATTCTCCTCAAATTTTATGAAGTGATATAAGAAGAGTTGCGGATAAGAGATAGGTTCCCCAAAGCGTTACAGACGGACGGACGTACAGACGGACGGATATCCCGATTACTATATACCCTACCGCTTTTTGAGCGGGGGTGTAATAAAATGAGTTTTGTGGGACGCTTACATGCATCATTCTAACTTTTGATTTGAGCTTTATACACACTATATGTTGATTTCAATCATTACCGATTTTTTTCCATACATCCTTTACACACATTTACATGAACATTTTTCAGGAAAAAATAGAAAAAAATAGAAAAAGAGAATGCACATTTCAACAGGATGCATGATATGAAATGATAAGGAAATACTGAAAAGATTTCCTGGAAAAACCTGATAGCATATATCTTTAATCTAAAAGAGGATTTAAGATTTGATATGATGTACATTTTAACAACTCAGTCTCCAATATCTGATTTCCTTGAGGAAGTAACAATCGACAAATGAAAATACACTCTAATACAAAAAAAAAAAAAAAAAAAAAAACAAGTTTGTAGTTTTTTTTTTAAAGATTGGTCACTGATCGACAAAATATCGTTATTTTTGTATACAGTGGTTTATACAGTGGTGATTGTACATTTGAAGTAAATATTTGCCATTAAAATTAATATGTTAAATCAACAATCGTACATTTTTAACAAAAGAAGCAGAAGATCTTACTTTGTTTATAGCAAAACAAAACAGCCTTGTATCAGTTTGAAGCTGAACACATGAATAACACAAACTTAGGTTTTACAAAAAAAGAAGAAATTTTAAAAATATCACAAATTTAAAGATGATAAAATATCCGAAAAAAATTATGATATTTAACTATGTCAAACCAAAATGCAATAAAATGTTAAAGATTTACTAAAATAAACCATTTTTTTTCATGAAAGCATAAATCTCTATTGATATTGTTTGAATGTTTTAGAGCTTGCAGTTGATTCCGGTTTCTGCATACCGCTATTTTATAAATAATACTTTGATCTGAAATCTCTTTTAGAAAAGAAAAATCAGTTCTAATACCCTCATAAATACATGTACTCAATTTTTTCAAATAAAATCCACTATGTAATTTTATATTCTTTAGGATTATATTTGATTATAACCATCTTTTCATTGAACAATTATATTTTAAGGTAGGATTCTTCTCTTGTTTCTGACTAGATGGAATATTCAAAGTACATTTGTTGATATGTCTTATATATTTAGATGTAAAAGATTTAAAAGACCACATTTTTCTTTTCTCATCACAATTATACAACTTTAAACAGAAATGGTATACTATGTTTGAAAACCAACAGGGACTATATTTTTGGCGGAATGGTGGCGTATGAAAATATCTTCTTTTCTGCCTGTCAAAATTACAATAGAACATTGAATTTAGTTATGTTTTTTACGCAATCAAAGACAAGACGAAATCTTCAAATGTAAGTTAAATTAACAATAAGGGACTTAAGTTTAAAAATATATCAAATTTTATTTTACACATACTAGAACTATGTTGGCTTTTAAATGCTTCAAATCTAAGCACAGATTTGAGCCAAAAATCCGTAAAAAGTGTTATATCTCTCTCAGTAAACGATCAAAATTTACAGTTTTTGTATCATTTTGTACCTTCATGTGACAACTTTACTATATGTGAAAATTGGAAAAAGTTAAATATAGGAAGCATATAAAAATAACTAATAAATCCTAAAAATTTAAGAAAAGTAGAGGTAATTCGGATTAGCAAATATCCATTTTATTTAAATTATCTATGCCAGTTTGGTAATATCGTCTTATAGGCCCTGTATGGTAGTATGTTTTTATGCAAAAAGAAAAACATTCAATCTATTGAATTACAAGTAGGGATCGCATGATCGGAAACATTAATTTTTTATTCTTAATGTCCAGGAAAAGGGTAATGACCTTGACCTGACCTTGCCTCTAATATCAAACGGTCAAAAATCTATCTCACTGATACCATCACTTAGTGATATTGTCCACTTGATTCTGTAAAAATTTCATTAACATTTAAATACAAGAAATGTCAGAAGAATCCTACCTTAAAATAGTAAGGTTTCAATTACTTTACCGGGTATGTAATATATATTAAACAAACGGTTTTATTGTGTTTCATAGCGTTTATGTATAGTTATGTAATAATTATTTTAAATATTGTTTCATTATAAACGATTTGTCGTAATAATCAATTAAAATATCATTTTCAATTATATCATTCTAAATGATAACAGATTAAAAACAATTCGTAAACATCACTCTTTCTTGTGTAAAAATGTGGATTAAAAGACAATAAAAACTCCTTACAAACCTTTATTAGTGTTTCAAACAACTGAGCAATTGAACAGCTGTTTGTTGAATTTTGTTACG